AAAAAATGGTCAAAAATGAGTATTTTATCATTAAAAAATAAGGGGTAGGTGTAACTTAAATCGCCTTTCTGAGTTAAAAGAATAATATCAAGAAATTGTACTTCCATAATTTAAAAGAAAATTATATTTTTATCAATTCTCCAAACATTCATACATATATGATAACACACTTGGAAGAAATTGTATCAATTTTTTCTGCAAATGGTCAAAACCAAAAAAATCACCTAAAATCACATATTGTGTTAAATTGATATCTTTGACCGATCTTAGCACAAAAACGATCACACGGACATATACATTTTTTTGCATTTTCTACTATGCCAGTAACTCCCTTTTCCGAAAATCCATATAAGAAAAAAGTTTAATACAGGATTTTTTTTGATTTCTCAGAGGTGTACACCCTTATTAATTACCCATATTAAATTGAAACTAACCAGGACCCGTATTCAGGAAACCGTTATCATGACCTTTGTGCTCAAACCAGATTTCTTGTAACTAAATTAAATCATATAAAGCAATCAAAAAGTAAAATGTAAACGTTAAAAACAGTATCTGGCTTAAAGTCTCTTCAAACGTTTTTGAAATTGGGCTTGGCCACATAACCCATGCTTGAGCATGAGAACGGTTTCATGAATACGGGCACAGTACTCCTTTTATTATGTCCCCCAAACGAAGTGGGGGACATATTGTTTACTCCGTTTCTTATTATTATTATAAGCAGTATTATTATTATTCTTTCTTCTTCTTTTTCAACTCGAATAGTTGCGTATTCAAGTCTTTATTTTCAGATCGTTGCCATAGCAACCACACGGCACGGATGCTTCTGATTGGTCGAAATTTAGATATTGTTCGATTTTAATGAAAACTAGTATGTAGGGGTATTTGGGGACTGAAAATTTAACCGCATATGTTTCGTTGCCATAGTAACCACACGGAGGCTTCCGATTGGTCGAAATTTAGCTATTGTTTATTTTTTATGAAAATTGGTAAATAGGAGTATACATGTGAGGAGACTGCGAATTCAACAGCATAAGTTTCGTTGCCATACAAACCATATAAAGGCTTCGGATTGGTCGAAATTCAGATATTGTCGATTTCACTCAAATTTTAGTATGTAGGTGTTTTATGCCATTGTGATCCTTTTGTGATTCATCTTTGGGGACTTTTACTACTTGTTCCCTGTTGAATTGATAGTCTTTTCAACAGTAAACGAATCTTGTGGTATTTTTTTTTTTACTAAAACTGGGTTTGACAGGCACCTTTTGAAGTTAGTTTCTGGTTTGACCTATTTACGCAAACAGTATTATGTCTAAAATTGAACAATAGAGATTTTCTGATCGAGAAGTTTAAAGCTTTAAACGAAACAAGCAAAGCAAGCGAACAGGAAGTATTAAAAAATGCCGATAACCGAATTGTGATTTTCAAGATGACAAACTAAATGCACTCATATGTAAAATGAAACAAGCACAACAAAGGACCAATGGGCAACTACATATGAAATTTGAGGACGATCCGTCAAGTAAATCTTGAACAAGAAACCCTATAAGGATATTGGCGTCCACTATAAAAGGATCTTTATGAGATCTTCAGAAGATGATCTTTTACCTTCTTTTCTCTTCATTTTTCTTACACGTACAATAATCTAGCCCCATGTTGGAAATCCTAAACAAGAATCTTGTACAACTTAAAGCTAGTAATATAATGTCATATGTTATATGCCACTATGACAAATGTATTTGATAAGAATTTCATTACTGCTTAAAATAAATGTACTTCTTAAATATCTATTAGTGCTGTCAATGTCAGAGGAATTCTCATTAGGGCCTTGGGTCGTATTCATGCAACCTTTCTCATGCTCAGGCCGGTATTGTGTGCTCAAACCATTTTTTTATAATTCACTTAATCATGTCGAACGATTAAAACCTCAAATGAACACATTGCAAACAATATTCGGCTGTTTTTCCAAATCATTGATAAAATAAGATTATATTATTAAGTTATAACCGGATCAAGAAATCTCGCTTGAGCACAAAATCCATGCTTGAGCACGAGAACGGTTTCATGAATACAGGCCCTGGTGAGACCAAAAATATAAAATAGAATTGTCAAAATTCAAGATGGCTATCTGGTGGCCATCTTGGTTTTCCTATCAGTCCCAAAATTTCAATTCCTGACAAGGACCATGGGAAACTCTAAAAGGAAACTGAAGAAACATCCTTCTAGTACTTTCTGAGGATTAGCGCTAACAACCTTAAACTTTCAAAATTCAAGATGATTGTGTGTTGGCTATCCTGGTTTTCCTATCAGTCCCAAAATAATAATTCCTGACAAGGGACTATTGGAATCCCTCATAAGAAATTGAAGAAAGATCCCTGCAGTACCTACTTTCTGAAGGATTAGCGCTAACAACATTTGACTCTCAAAATTCAAGATGACCACCTGCCAGCCCTTTTGTTTTCTGTAAATCCCAAAGTTATAATTCCTGACAAGGAACCACCGGAAACTCTAATAAGAATTGGAGAAAGATCCCTTCAGTACTTTCTGAGGACTCTCAAAATTCAAAATGGTCACCTATCGGCCCTTTTTGATTTCCTATCATTCACAAAACAATAATTCCTGACAAGGGACCATTGGAAACCCTCATAAGAATTGAAGAAATGTCCCTTCAGTACTTTATGAGGATAAGCGCTAACAACCTTTGACTCTCAAAATTCAAAATGGCCACCTGTCGGCCATCTTTGTTTTCCTATCATTGCCGAAAATATACATAACAAGGCACGATATGAAATCTTCATGTGAAATTTGAGAAAGATCCTTCCAGTGCTTACTGAGAAGTAGAGCTACAATGTAACAAACTTTAAGTCTCAAAATTAAAGATGACCGACAGGAGGCCATCCTGGTTATCTGATCAGTCTTAATATTCGATATGCAAAATTAGGGACTCAGGGTAACCTTCATATTAAATTTGAGAAACAATCTCTGGTGCTTTCCTTTTCTAAAATTAGCGCTTACAAACTTAAACTCTCAAAGTTCAAGATGACTATCTTGGTTTTCCGATCAGTCTCAATATTCGATATGAGTTACTAAGGACCAAGGGGGACCTCTCGTATAGAATTTGAGAAAGATCCCTACAGTACCTTTCTGCGAAATGCACTAATAAACTTTTACTCTCAAATTTCAAGATGATTGCTTGCCAGTCAATGGTTTTCGATCAGACACACAATTTGATATGCGTAATAAGAGTCCATGGGAAACCTCTATGTGAAATGTGAAAACGATACCTCACGTACTTTCTGAGTAATACTGCTAACAAAATTTAACCCACAAAATTCACCTTGGTTTCTGATTTGTCCAAATATTCAATAGGGGGTATGGGGAACCTTCATGTGAAGTTTGAGAAAATCTTCTCTTGTACTTTCTGAGAAATAGCGCTAACGAGAAATATTTAAGGATGGATGGATGTACCACGGACCATGAACGAAGGTTGATTTGAATAGCCCACCATCTCATAATGGGCTATAAATAGCGACAACAAATATCACTTGTCAAATTCAAAACGGCTGCTTTGTGGCTAGCTTGTTATTCTGATCTCAAATTGAAAAAATGCACAACTACAATACTGAAATATGAGATAAATGTATGAGGTATATTTTGAGAAAAGGCGGCAACAAGAATTATTTTAGAACAGACAACAGACCTTTGACGAATGGCGATTTGAACAGCCCACTATCTGATAATCGTGTGTTAAAATCAAAATACAAAAATACATGTATCAATTAAGAGTAAATTTACTTAACAACCAAAGCATATCTGCAGTTCAAATGATTTTTGTTCATTTTATTGATACAAAATTATTGTTTTTCAAACAACTATAGATTATGTTATTATAATTTTCAAAAAATGCAATATCATGTTTTCTAGTTATGATTTCTAAACTTATCGAGCACTGAAATTAAGTGAGAACTATTGACAAGTTTATCGTAAGAAGTTTTTGATCAAACCATATTAACTATTTTCGTTTCCGAGTTTTGTAATAAGCACATAATGCCTGGTGTTCATAAATAAGAACACTATGTATTTACAAAGTCTTCGATATAGTTTTTAAGTACGTTGTTCCAACAACTGTTACGGTAAACATCAGAACAGCCTATCGTTGGTAACGTGTCACTCTACTGGAATTTAAATACAGAATGATGCGTGGATCAATTGGTTCCTCTCTCGACACACGTAACTTCTCCGCATCCTTTGAAACATGTCATAACAAAACCGAACCCTCGCGGTAAGCTGTTTGATTGGTTCCATGTAGGAAAACCTGACCAGTCGCTGGGCTGACACCTATTCATTATGCTTCATTTGATTTTTATAAAAGACATGACACTAGTCTACTTTTGGAGGACGCGGTCGAGTGATCCTCTTGTTCTTTATAGAGTGTTTCATCGTGAATAGTTTCGTAAAGTAACTGATACGTGAATAGATCTGTAGATAATTGAGTTGTAGTTATCTTAATAGAGTTGAAACAAACGGACGTAGTTAGTATCATCCTCAGTGAGTACAAACATGTCACCACAGACAGCTATTGCAAATGGGTCGTTTATTCCGTCAGATGACGTCAGCAGTTCCCTGATGTATGTCCCGTCCCCAGACATCTGCACGACGTTGTTTGAATATGGTAGATGTTTCCCTCTCTATCAACGTTAAGACCAGCAGCATTTTTCACGAGAGCGACTTTCATCACATCCTGGAGATGTGTGTCAGCCGACAGTCTTGACATCACAGCTTCCCCCTGAGTGTTAATATGACAGCTAACCAGTACGTCTTCACTTGTTGGGTCATGTGAGACGAAATAACACATACCACTATACTGATGTAACAGCTCAGCGGTGCCGTCCTGTGTCACACTGAACACTTCTGCTTCTTCTGTGTCAGCTTCCTCTGTGTCTGAACAAACGACAAATCTTCCGTTGATATGGGTTATACCGAGGCAGCCTTTACCATCTGGCAAACAGATCTCGGAAGAAAGTGATATTTTTGAGTTTTCGACTTTCACGATATGGACACCACCAGGACTGCTAACTGACACAGCCACTATGTTGTCGTTCACTAAACACATATCCCAAGGAGTTCCTTGAATGGTCAACTCATCCAGGTACTGTCCTTGATCTGTAAACAGCTTCAGCTTTTTGTTTTTGAGATCACTTACTATTATTTGATTGTACGGAAGGTACACAACGCCAGCTGCATCACAATCCTTCTCATCTGATGTTGTTTTTATATCAAACTGTTGAACTTCTCTCACGCGACGGCCAAGCAATGGTGAAGCAAGGTAACCATGACTCACAGGAAAACGTCGTGGTGGGTTCTCAATGACGATATCCCCCATTACGTCATGAAGAAAGGTTGTATGTCCTGGTTCAGTCTGATGCTGAATATTGATGGACGTGAACGATTCGTTCATCTCCGTGACCAGGACCTTACACGACTCCACTTCTGCCTGTCCTCTTTGATACAGCACTATCGTTTCAGTGTTATCGTTTTCCTCTGTAGCTTTAATGGACGACTTCAGTGTATTTAGCATACTTTTCTTTAGACGTTCACATTGCCGTAAGGAGTCGTCTAATTTCCTCTTTTCGTCTTTGATCAGCGTGATCAACTTGTCAGTGCAGTTCTTTTGAAGCTCGTCAAGCCGTTTGTCGATCCTTTGACGTAGATCTGTAATACTCTGGAGAGCAATTTCTTGGTTCTTTACAATGACGTGGAGCTGTTCGTCAAAGTCCTTCACTAAAGAGTTCATGACCTCTGCGCCTTTCTTCAGTTGTGCCTGCATATCTGTCAGTTGTGATCCTGCTTTTAGTTTCAGAATGTATTCCGTCGCTGTTGTCACTGCTTCACAACGTCTGTGATCTTTAAAGACACACATGCTACAACCGAGAAGTTTGTGATCTTCACAGTACCAAACCATCTTCTTGTCGTGTTGGTCACAGTGAGGAACAGCCGGGTTCTGTTTTTGTCTATTGCTGTCGTGCCTGGTTATATCTAATATATCACATCCAATATGTACGACATCGTGGTGATCAATTTTACAAGTCTCACAGAAACCGGATTCAATTTTTTTACACCAGAACTTGGCAGGACTGGACGGATTTCCTTTTGTTTGACAGGGTGTGCAGTACAGTGGTTCAGACGACTGTTCCTTAAGCTTGATCAGTTCTTGGATCACACCATTAGTTGGAAACTGTTTAGCCCAGTTTTCCTTGGTTTCCGCTTGATTGACAAGCGTGGCCATTCCTCTACAAACTGGACACGGAAAAGATGTTGCCGAAGCCATCTTGCCAGACAACTCCTTGGTGATGTAGGTCCCGAGACAATCCTGACAGAAGCAGTGGAGACACGGTAAGGACTTTGGCTGTCGTAGTCGCTCCAGACAGATTGGACACTCCAGTAAGTGTAAGTCTAGTTCCGGAAAGGGTCCTCCTTCAGCCATGATGAGGATCAGTTTGGTTCAATTTTAACCTGAAAAATGTAGAAATGCATACGATTATTAGATTGATATATTACTGATTGTCCCTGATCTAAAGAATGTTGCTTATGTAAACTACAGCTTTATGTACGGTAAATTAGAGTATTATAGATTGTGTTCTGTGATATGACCGGTAACAGTATTCTTTGAAAAATGTCATTAAGAGACGAAAGATAACACTTAAAACCTTATATAATGCCGTTGCTATTTTCAAGTATCGCCCAGTATTCTTATTAAAGGGGCTGGTCGGGGGAAACAATACAAAATAAATGGGTCTAAATGCGTTCTCTGGCCTTCCAAAAGTTATACCACGCCAATATGATTGAGTTCTGCTTACAATGTCCAGTTTTGACCACTGAAATCTCGGGGAAGCCCCGCGTAAATTTAGCGCAGATCTATTTATATATGTCACGTGGTTGTTTCGAAAGTGAGACAGTGAAGATAACAACAATAGCACGCCGTCATGTGCCATGTTTGACTCAACTAGCGGACAAGACAGCAATACTATAAGTAAATAATTGTTTTTAAAGGTCATGTATGATGCAAGTGTAGTATTCTAACGGTATTGATACCTCGTGCCTGTCATGATTTTGCATGCATCTTTTTCTTTCGCCACGTTGTTTACATTTGGCCTTGTTGATGATGCGTGTGCGGTAGAATTACATCACTGATCTGGGTCAATTGAGAGTTTTAGACTGTCAGGTGAAGATTAAGGATTTCTTTAATATAATTATAATTTTTACTCTTAGGGTGTGAATTTCAGCAAAATTTGAGTCGGTATATTTCATAAAAAGGTATTTCAAACATGTGTATGCCATTTTAGTTAATATGACATTTTTCCCCCGACCAGCCCCTTTAAGTAGAGTCTCATAAAACGGTTATCTCATCATTTTTAAATAATTTAATCTTGCTTGTAACAAGCATTTTCATTGGCTTAAAAATTTATGTTATCAGCCCATAACGTAAAACAATTACATCGCCGTTTGTAACGTTGCTTTCGATCGGCTAATACAGCGGCGTAATAATTTCTAAGAGAAAATAGTCCATCAATAAATGTGGATTTCCACAGGGATTTTGTATAGTAGATTAAATCATAACGATTGACTTGAATATATATTTCATGTTATGGAGCTATAACATACACTCATCATAAACCATCTGTACTCTCATCATAAACCGCTTCGCAGTTTATTTAGAGTACACTCCGTTTTTTATATAGCTCCATAACATGAAAAATATATTCAAGTTAATCCTTAAATAGGAAAAAAATGTACACCTGACAAAATTGAAAATAATATTAAAAGTCACAATACCAACAGCAAGTTATTTCAAAGAATACTGTCAATCAGGCATCTTCTAAACAACATTTGTTGTCGATATCACATGATATCTATCAGACATTATTTCAGTTTAAGTCTCCTTTGTCCAACAATGCTCCCGACCAAATTTGGTCAGAATCTAATCTGACATTCTGGACTATGGATGGACTGACGATGGATAGATGAAAGAACCAATGGATGATGGACTAAGGATGCATCTATAAAGGGCCAGAAGAGTTTACATAGGCTCATTAGGCCAGCATCACTCACATGGTATTATTGTCACTCTGACACGTGACCTTAAAAGTGTAATAAAATAAACATACAGGCAAAATATCATAACCTATGTCAAGTTATTCAAACTTATTAAAATAACAAACTGTATAGTCTTTCATCCTTGCCAAATATCATCACTTTAGACCATTTGTTTTTGAGAAGAGGTTATTTAAATATACACACTTGCCAATGCGTTTTTGATAGTGGGTACAAATCATTCATATGAACAGACATGATAGTTCTTCATCTGAGCATGCTATTGTCAAATAGCACCATTCTATGCCTTTTGTATATAAAATGCATTTGAAGGTTTTCAACACAGCCCGGTGACCCCTGTGAACTTAAATATAGGTGAAGGTCATTTATTTAATCAAACATTATTTCTCTTGATCTGAACATATTTCTGATGCAATATTAGCACGCTGGACCTTTTGGCTATTCAGAAGGAGTCATTTAAATGTGTTCAATGTATTTGAACCCTGTGACCTTAATAATGAAGGTTAGTCATTTAATATAGCGTAGGAGCTCTTTATCTTATCATGTTACAGCTTAAATAGTTGGTTATTTGCAAAACACCTTTGAAATGTTTTAAACACATTTGAACCATGTGACCCCTGTGACCCCTGAATATGGGTGAAAGTCATTGATGTTAACACCCTTGGCAGCTCTTCATCTTAGCCTGCTACTGGCCAGATATCATCACCCTGGACATTTTGGTTATTTAGAAGAAGTCGTTTATATAAATAGTTGATGCCGGACAGACAAACGGACGGATGCAGCGTCATAGCATAAGCTCTTCTGGCGATGTGAGCTAAAAAAATTAAAAACCAAGTAGTAATTGTAATGGGGGACCATTACAGAAGTCCCCCAAACTGCCCCCATAGTCGCAAAGATGCATCAGAAAAGGATCGTAATGCCATAAAACACCTACATACTAAATTTAAGTGAAATTGAACAATATCTAAATTTCGACCAATCAGAGGTCTCCTTGTGGTTGCTATAGCAACGAAACCTATGCAGTTGAATTGGAAGTCCCCTAATACCCCTATATACCAATTTCCATCAAAATCTAACAATATCTAATTTTTCGACCAATCAGAAGCCTCCGTGCCGTGTGGTTGATATGGCAACAATCTAACAATAAAGACTTGAATGCACAACATAAATGCCAATTATAAATCATGTGAGGTTTCATCAAAATAGGCTTTAAGGTTTTTTCAAGAAAATGGTCGGACAATTTAATGGCGAAAAAGAAGAAGGAGAAGAATAGTAATATAATAAGTACTAATTGTGATGGAGGANCCCCCCCCCCCCCCCCAGCTATGTTGGCAATGCCAAAATACACTTACATATGAAATTTGATCTAAACTAATCAATAATTGATTTCGACCAATCAGAGGCCATGGCGGCCATGTTGGATGCGCAGCTGTGAAAAAAATGTGTCTTGCACATCAAGGCACAAGCCCAAATACTCATTGAAGTTTCATTGGAGTCCAATGAAAAGTTTCTGAGAAAATGTGCGGAGATATTTGAAGGCGGTAGAAGCAGAAAAAGAAGGTGAAGAAAAAAAAAGAAGAAGAAAACGGAATAATAATAATAACAAGTACCAATTGGGGGTCATTACAGAGGTAACCCAAACTCCCGCAGTTATGTTCCCAGTGCCAAAATAGACCTACATACCAATTGAGTGAAATCAAACAATATCTTAATTTCGAACAATCAGAACCAAGTATACAGCGTCCATTTGACATGTGCAATTGCAAAAAAAGGTGTCTTGCACATCTAGGCACACGTCCCAATACTCATGTGAAGATTCATTGGAATCTAACAAACAGTTCCTGAGAAAATGTGCGGACAAAATTGCATAATAATAATAATAATAATACGAAACGGAGTAAAACCAATAAGTCCCACACTTCGTTTGGGAGACTTAATAATAAGAAGAAACAGAGTGAACACAATATCAACCAATATAATACAAGAGGCCAAAAGTGTTTGACATATTTGACCCCCATGACCTTGAAAGTAGGTTGAGGTCATTTTCATTTGAAACCTTTGTCAGGCTACATCCCAAGGTGCTACTAGCAAATTAGTATGATCATACGCTTGTCAGTTATTTAGTAGGTCAAGGTAATTACCATGACAGTTAGCCTTTCCATTCTTCAGAAGAAGTTGTTTAAAGGAAAATTTGACGGACCACAGATGGAAAACAGACACTGCAACATGGCATAAGCTTACTAGCCCTTCAGGTAGGTAAGCTTAGAACATATCTATTTTCATATCATTTAAACGAGAGGCCCAGAGGGCCTGTATCGCTCACCTGGATACTAAAGCAATCATGCCAAATATTCTCCGAATGAGATCAAGGGAATATGCCAGACCCCAAGGCCAATCCTTGTAGCATATCTGTACATGTATTAGATTATTCATGCCCAGCAATTTTATGTATGGTTATGGGGTGGGGATTTCAACCATTTCAAAGTTATGACCCAGGGGTTAAGTCTGCAAGGGTGGGGCAGACCGTTGGGTCAATTCTAATATCATGACTGCATTCGTCTTTTTATGCCCAGCATTTATATATATAGTTTTGGGGTGGGGATCTCAACAGTTTTAAAGTTATGGCCCAGGGACTATGTCTCCAAGGGTGGGGCCAGACCCTATAGCCATCCTGGAAGCAAATGTGCATTCTTCTCTTTATACTCTGCAATTGTTTACCTTGTTTATATGGTGGGGATCTCAACCATTTCCAAGTAATACACTTTTTTTGGCCCAACCCCTTAGCCCGGGGGGTCAGCCCCACCATTTGTATAATTTTGAATCCCTAACTCCCATGAATGCTTCCGACCAAATATGATTGATATCCATGGCATAATTCTACAGTAGAAGTCGTTTATAGCAATATAGCCAAATTGCCCCCTTTTTGCCCTGCCCCTCAGCCCCCTGGGGGGTCGGCCCCATCATTTGTACAATTTTGAATCCCCACCACCTATAGATGCTTCCAGTCAAATATGGTTGATATCCACTTCTCAGTTCCAGAGAAGAAGTCGCTTAAAGCAATATAGCCAAATTGACCCCTTTTGGCCCAGCCCCTCAGCCCCCTTGGAGGTCAGCCCCACCATTTGTACAATTTTGAATCCCCACCACCTAGGGATGCTTCCAGTCAAATTTAGTTGAATTCCAATCAGTGGTTAAGAAGAAGTCGTTTAAAGAAATTGTTGACGGACGGACGACGGACAGACGGACGGACGGATGGACGACGGACGCCACAGTATGGCATAAGCTTACCTTGGTCCTCAGGACCAGGTGAGCTAAACAAGAGGCCCAGAGGGCCTGTATTGCTCACCTGAATATGTTTAAAATAATTGGTATGAAGTAAAGATATAGCACTCCACGGTAGT